TGTCAGTGACGAAAATTATGTCCGATGCAGTTCCAGGTTTTTTCACCATACATGGAGTATCAGTCGCTCACCTTTTCGCGAATTGATTGTAATTCATAACCACATACTCATGCTACAGTCGGATCCGCGAAGATCCGGGTTAGAATTGATTTTCAGCAACCCATGCTTGTCGTAAGAGGCGACTAACGGGATCGGGTGCAGGTGGTCAGTCTCGCTGACTTGTTTGTCAGACCATCGTGTCTAAATTGTGCAGATCGAATTATCTGGTCTACTCCCATTTGTGAGAACTCCCAGTTGTGAGACTCCCAGTTATGAGACAGTGGAGTAGGTAATTAACAACGAAAACACACCATACTCCCCTGTCTGATAGAATGGATTCACCCTAGCTAATTACTGATTTGTTATGTAACTGAATCTTGTGGAGGTAACTTAATGAAACTTTATAAGATAAATTGATTAACATACTCAGGTAAATGTCTTTGATAATTAAACACTTTGTGTAGGTAACTTTGTGATCAAAGAGAAATTAATTTACCTACTGAGATTTACTCCGTCTCCGAAACTACAAGCTATAGTTTAAGAAATAACTCTGAAACAACACTGAAATTTACAGTCGAAATGCCCCTTATGCCAAACCCTTTCTACCCGACACAATAAATTTATGGAATGCCCTACCAAATTCCAAAGAGTCATTCAGTCTCAAAGAATATTAAAACCTAATTACAAAAAAAACGAAAACAAGATTTATATTGATCTTAATTATGGCTCTTGTTTTTGTCAAAACGTTCATTGCTGCCTCAGGCTCGGATCTAGCGACCCAAACGCCGATAAGTATAACAGACATTTAATAGACAGTGCATGTTGCTCTTGTGGATATCAACTACCCGTTATAACCTGGATAATTTTTTGAACGGAAACAAAGAATTTACTCCTTGTGTAAACCAGAAAATAGTTGAATCCGTCCACGATTATATCATCAAGACACAACCTTCAAATTTTCACAGGGAAATACTGAAATTAACTCAACCTTCTCGTGATTGATTTATATTCCTACAATAGATTGTTAGACACACACAACTGAAAGTGTCTAATTATGACTACTTAGAGAATAGTTGTATTTGATGTAATCTGTATATATTTACATGTATATGTACTTAAAAATATATTTATGCAATAGTCAATATCGATGACATCACATCCTCCATTTCAATTTATATTTTATGTTGCATGGGAGCGGTGTTAACATAAACAGTAATACTTCACCAATCCCAATTCATTTTCATAAATAATAATAAAATATGTTTAAACCAAAATGACTTTCAAACTCTATAATAGTCAATAAAAATGTGTTATCATAATTACATATTCTTCTGAATAAATAAAATATTCAATGAACTATGCCTCCTGTGGGTACTGGGCTGGGCTGATCCCACTTTCATTGTAGGGATGTGGAAACACCACCTATGTGCACTGAACCATAATTAATGTGTCTCACAACTGGGAGTTCTCACAAATGGGAGGACACCAATGATCAATGTGGATTGCCTTGACTGAATTCAGTTAATGTCAGACCGTTAAACAACCACAAGCAGTGTCATCGCGTCCCAATTTCGAAGATCGATGCTCATGCTGTTGATCACTGAACTGTCTGGTCCAGACTCGATTATTTACAGACTGCCGCCATATAGCTGGAATATTGCTGAGTGCGGCGTTTAACAACAAACAAACATGATAATGTCGGAATTATTTATCGACTCTGATGTTACTGACATGTCCTATGTATGTGGGGAGAGTTTGGCGCTTTTATCGTACACATAACCCGAGACAACTTCCCATTGTGTTGTCCACTCTGTAGATGGTTGACATGGCCAGGGGCGAAGCTACCATTATAAAGCCCGGGCGTACACATGATTGTTGCTAAAAAGGTTGGATAAGCCCGCAATACTATTTAAATGTAAAGCTTTGCAACCTATCTGGCTTACACGAAAAAAATGGCTTGCTACACGCCTGGTTGCGAAGACCTTGCTGAACCCCAATGATATGATTTTTTCAATGAAGAGATTGAGTACTTGTGACTGAGAGCTGACGCCCTTAATAGAGAATGAGTAATATGTATCGTGCAGAGAGTAGTCATCGGTGATAACTTCGACTGCTTGTAATTGAAAAGAAAAAATAATTTGACAAATCTCCTTGTTGGAGGAAACAACCAAACCGATAATTAACAGGGGCGGAAATGTATATTGGGTTTAATGTTTCGTGTCATTGAAAAGTGAAAGAACTATTGAATAATTTGATTAAGCCAAATAGTATCTAATTATCATCTCACGTAAATATTTTGTAAAAAGTAAACTGTGGCAGGTATTTTTATGAAAGAAAGAAACTGGGTAAAAAATTAGATATGCCAGCGAATTGTCCGTGCCATATGTTGTAAATTTGTTCTGAAATACAAATTTATTGATGTTCATATATAGGATGTCTAAATACACATCAACTGTTGTGTATTATGTTTATTTCATTATTGAAATTAAAATTTTTAATTAAGTTTTAATTAAAATTTTATTCTTAAAAGTGGAAGTCCGTGAGTTGTGACTACATTTTGGGGATATAGTGTCGTTTCCGGAACACAAATAGTTTTTTAAGGTTTCTGGTTACAAACGTTGACTTTACATACACATTTCATTTTCAAGATATTTGTTTTACATGCTTAATAAATTAGTTGATTTAAGATTTTTACTGCATATATCCTTTAACTTAAAATCAAATATAAGACTGGTATATCATCCTTTGTTTCTCAGTTTAGTCTGGTGTCCGAATATTTAAGCAATTAATAATATTATGATATAATTCCTGAATGGTTCCTGTTAGTCACCGTAAATGCCACTGAATTGTGGATGGGTGCATACAGGTCATTTACCGGCTGTTTGTAATGGGATAGCAATAAGATAACACACTCAGCGTTTAATATCCAATCAGGAAGTTTTGTCAGCGTACGGGTGGCCCGGTCGTCAAAGCGTCGATGTTCGCCTTGCAGAGTTGCGTCCCTTGGTCAAAGATCCGTGAGTGTTCGAATCCCGAATCGCTGTGATTGTGTTTCAAAGTTTGCCAGCACCGTACCACTGCTGTTGTACGGGTTTATGTTTTGGATTGTCTCCAGGACATGTAAATTACACAATTAAGTGTATTAATGTTTCTAACACGTGTAGGTTACTCGGTGCGGGTAGACTATTTAAGCGGTCTCAAAGCTAGAATACTGCTGAGTACAGCGTTCCACAGCAAACAAACACTCACATCTTTTTAATAGTGTCGCATATAAGTGCAGCAAACGTACTTCATGTACAAGTCCATTGTACTCAAAATAACTACACTGATAGTCTATTTTTGTCAGTACACAGATGCATTATATAAATAATTGAAAGAAATGGAGCTTCTAACGAAAACTTTGAGTGGCATTTACAAGCACTTACAACAGTTATATCTCTGCTCACGATCTCCTATTCCATCATTTACAATGCCATTCCCAGACTGTGTCAATAATTGCACCCCGACTGCAAACGGGCCTGCTTGGATTATCGGAGTACTAAAACGGACCGCGTTCTATGAGTCAATAGCACCAAGTCAGAGATCAAAAGATCAACCCAGCAGACATTCAGATAATGACGTCGCATCATTAACAGCACTATCAGTTACGGGCGTGTTATCTTTGTGTCGCCCCAGACAGAGAATTAATTCACCTTTAAAATAAACAATAGACATTTTTAGAGTTTTTCCAGACTTTGTGACTGTCTTTTGCAAGTTTATTAATGGTGTTATAAAAATCGAAAATTAGAATGCCTGATTTAATTTTTTCCCCATCCATGTGTGTTTTGTGAGTGAACTCAGGACAATAAAGTTTGTGTGCTGCGGAATCCATTATGGCATTTGAGCAGTAATTAAAGAGCGGCCACGAGATGATTGTGTAACGGAAAACCGTCGTATGACGTCACGTAACGTGCGTTCTCTAGTAGCGACGTTAGTTCAAAGACCTGGCAGTAATCGTAAAGATTTAACTGGAGATAAGAGGGCACCTGAAGGAAATGGAAAATATTGATATCGGCTCTGATATCTTGACCCGAGAACTCGGAGCATAACGTCATTTGTGATGTAATGACGTCAAACGTTATCATGGCATGATTGGGTGTGGGTTAACGCCGCTGGGAACACTATTGCAGCGATAATCCAAAGTGTTAGTTCGATACTGGTCAAGCCAGAAGTGATGCTTGTCTGAGACGTTTTCCCCTTAGGGGTAGCCCCCTGTTGCTGACAAACCTAGCAACAGAATCTAGGTGAAACCCGGGTTCGAACCTGACCCACAAGCTAGTTTCCGTTCCTCAATGCATGTCGTCAACTTCCCACATGAGATATGAGGTCAGGCGTTACCCGCACCCTTGGCTTCTGGCACGGCCCGGGGCGCGGGGGTAGCCTATTTAAATCGTCCCCACGACACGCTGAAGACCCGGGTTCGATTCCCCACGTGGGTACAGTGTGTTAAGTCCTTTTCTGCTGTTCGCTGCCGTGATATGGCTGGAATATTACTAAAAGAGGTGTAAAATGGTGGCACAGGTTAGGGAGGCAATAATGGTGTCTACGTCAAACAATCCTGTGATTGATATTATGAACAACGATCTACATCGTCGTTGTACACTGACATCCACTTGTCAAAGTTGGCGATCCATTGGATAACATGACTGTTCTAAAATTAAGAGATTTACGTGAGTAAAGAATATATATCATTTCTACTCTTGTCCAAAGCGCAATTCACCATGCAGATTTGCTTCCCTTATAGACATCAGGAACTGATGAACGTGGGATCTTCCTGGGTCTGACAGCGCCATTTTGGGGTCGGAGACCATATCCCTGTGGGGCTTCTTCCAATATTAAACTGACACTCCTTGGTGCAACTAGGATACAATCTACATCTCCTAACTCACTCTTGTATTTATGTACTTATGTTCGTCTTACAGTTCAAGTTCCTGGAACAAGGACTTCATGTTCGGCACTGGATCGTGTATGAAAATACCAGCGACGCCATGGTACAGAAAATCTCAGAAGAAGCCAAGGAAACTCGAGGTAGCTCGTCCTTTAGTGCTATCAGCATTACTACCATTATAATGACACTCCAGTCAGCGTAACCCTCACGATGATCATGATGATAATGATAACGACCATCGTTGTGGTCCTCTTCCTCTTTCTTCTTCTTCTTCTCCTCCTTTCTCTGCTTCTCCTCGTCGTCGTCATGATCATGATCATCACCATCACCATTAGACGATCATGATCATTACCATCACCATCACCATCAGACGAGTCAGTGTCTGGGCTAACGCTGCTTTAAAGATAATTTTAGTTGCATCATTGCCTATCAACTTAAGGTGGAATGAAAGCCAAAACAGTCTCATGACACCTGTCTATAATATGGACCAAGTATCATAAACGCAGTGAATCGGGGCTACGAACCCGCGACCAGTACACTCTAGCACGAAACAAAGGAGAACATTGACCAAGCCAGCACAAACATTTGTAATACTGAAACGAACTGGCATCGTCTACAACTGTTAACATGTCATTATTATTGTATGTATTATACTCTCCTCTGCAGTCTTCATCCTGTGTGCCTATGGCGACGAGATCATCCGACTGATGATGGCGGCGGAGGAGGCAGGGCTGATGACGGGGGAGTACGCCTTCCTGGCCATCGACTACGGTAACAGAGCTCAGAAGAGCGACAACCTGACAATGCATGTAGGAGACAAAACACTTAATGGTGAGATGGTTGTTGTGTTATAGTGACGAAAACATTGTGGTGAGGTGGTTGTTGTGTTATAGTGACGAAAACATTGTGGTGAGGTGGTTGTTGTGTTATAGTGACGAAACATTGTGGTGACATGGTTGTTGTGTTATGGTGAAAACATTGCGGTGATGGTTGTTGTGTTATAGTGACGAAAACATTGTGGTGAGGTGGTTGTTGTGTTATAGTGACGAAAACATTGTGGTGAGGTGGTTGTTGTGTTATAGTGACGAAAACATTGTGGTGAGGTGGTTGTTGTGTTATAGTGACGAAAACATTGTGGTGAGGTGGTTGTTGTGTTATAGTGACGAAAACATTGTGGTGAGGTGGTTGTTGTGTTATAGTGACGAAAACATTGTGGTGAGGTGGTTGTTGTGTTATAGTGACGAAAACATTGTGGTGAGGTGGTTGTTGAGTGGAAAACATTGTTGTGTTATAGTGACGACGTGGTTGTTGTGTTATAACGAAAACATTGTGGTGAGATGGTTGTTGTGTTAGTGACGAAAACATTGTGGTGACGTTATAGTGACGAAAACATTGTGGTGAGATGGTTGTTGTGTTATAGTGACGAAAACATTGTGGTGAGGTGGTTGTTGTGTTATAGTGACGAAAACATTGTGGTGAGATGGTTGTTGTGTTATAGTGACGAAAACATTGTGGTGAGGTGGTTGTGTTATAGTGACGAAAACATTGTGGCGAGGTGGATGTTGTGTTATAGTGACGAAAACATTTTGGTGAGATGGTTGTTGTGTTATAGTGACGAAAACATTGTGGTGAGGTGGTTGTTGTGTTATAGTGACGAAACATTGTGGTGAGGTGGTTGGATTGTACGTAAGAAAAAGTTAGTGGTGAGATGGTTGCCGGGATGGGTTGTTGTAGTGAAGAAAACATTGTGGTTATGTGGATGGTTTGTAAGGGAGAAAAACGTAATGGTGAGACGGTTGTGTTGTAGTGGTGACGGAAAGTTTATGGTGAGACAGTTGGGTTGTAAAGCATTTAATGAATTTGTATGTCGAGATTAGTGAAATATTGGTTAATGTTAAACTCTCGAATTTCCAATTTATTTCATTGTGATGTTTGCGGTACAGCTTACACAACAGTGCAAATGAAATAACTACAATTGAGTGATCTGTACAAGAGAAGTGGGGCCATCTTCCAAGTATCTATCTTCTTCCTAACATCCAGTGGATAGGCCATTATCAGCAGAACCATTAAAGAGAATATGCCAGTTGATTCCCTATCCTTTGCTTTCAATAGTAACAATTCTGAACCACTTCAACAGGTATTAAGCTTTCAATGAAATGAACGTGCAAAGATTTGAGAACTGTACTTGACTTAGTATTAAGGCAGATATAAATTTATTAAATTCATTGTTAGTTCTGCATAATGATCTATGTCTGGGTCAGTTACTTATTACGATGCACATTCAGAATAAATTCCAGGCTTAGAATCAACTCCAACAATTACAGTGTGACATCGTCATAATGGTTGGAAATTTAACATCCTAATTCGGGTGTCAGAGTCACAGTCACATGGGTTAATTGTGTCTACATGTGATGGGGTTCCCGACAGTGATCATCCGGTGAAAAGGGACTGATGACTATCTGATACACGAGTAAACATGTTTCTCTGTGCTGGGACCCGTGAAGATCCAGGTTAGAATTGGTCTCCAGCAACCCACGCTTGTCGTAAGAGGCGACTAACGTGATCGGGTGGTCAGGCTCGCTGACTTGCTCGACACGTGTCATCGTATCCCAATTGCGCAGATCGATGCTCATGCTGTTGGTCACTGGATTGTCTGGTCCCGATTCGATTACTTACAGACCGCCGCCATATAGTTAGAATATTGCTGACCGTGGCTTTAAGCAACAAACCATCCCCAACTCTGTGCGGGTAAAATTGTCATGTTGGTCATATTTTTGTCCAGGTTTACTCGATATAACGATAGACGTTGAGCCGGAGAGTGAGGTGTTCAAGTCGTTCCTGCTTGAGATGGAGAGCACTACCGTTGTAGGAACTGAAGGGGGTCATTATGAAGTGAGTATCGTCTCGTGTGAGATAATACAGGGATGGTATAGTGGTCTACGGTGCTGCATGGGTTTGAATCTTTGTTTTCAGAGATGTTGTCAACACTGCACCAGGGGTAAACCATGTTACATTATGTAGCTTAACAACGCCATACTCATTGTATAAGTGAGTGAGTGAGGTTCTAAGCCACTTTTAGGCCCATTTCATCAATATCACGACCTAGGACACCGGGTAGAGGCTTTACAGATTGTACTCTTGATGATGAGCCTATGAAACTATCCAATTGCCGAGTGTTCGAGGAAGGATGTGCGTAAAACATAAACGTACAAAAACGCGTTCACACACACACACACACACACACACACACACACACACACACACACGCATGTTTGACACATGTCATCGTATCCCAGTAGCGTAGATCGATGCTCATATTGTTCATCACTGGGTTGTCTTGTCCAGACTCCATTATTTACAGACCGCCGCCACATACGTAGAATATTGCTGAGTGCGGCCAACCAACCAACCATCATACGCAATGGAAATCATTCGCTCACTGCAAGTCTCAAGACTATATATTCAATGCTTTAACGAAAGATTAACAATACACCTTGTTTGTACAGCACGGCATACACCTGGCACTACTAGCGGACGCTATATACCTGTATGCTGCAGCTCTCAACAGCAGCCTGGCCGACGGCGCAGCCATAGACGATGGCGTCTCAGTGGCAGATCATATGTACGGGGTCGTCCTATCAGGTGAGCTATTTCCTATACGACGTCATGGATGAAGCAGACGGGGCAACGGTTGCTACAAAGATAGTCATATTATTTACCTACTACTATTTCACCATACGTTATCCTCAAAATAACAAAGGTTATGAAAATGTTACCTGACCTTCTCAAAAGCTGGTCCAATACTCTGGGATTTCCTTTCAGACAACCTCAGACACAATCAGGAACTATCTGCATGCAACTGAATACCCTTTTCCCCGCAAAAACGCCTTTGAGCAGACTTTCGTGGACGGGAAAAAGGCGCTGTATAAATAACTAATCTTATGATATTATAATTATTGACTTAAAACGGTTGCCGAAACACACCAAGGTGAGGTCCCAAACATAAGCATTATACCCCTATCAAAAACATCACTTTTGAATAATCATTTCTCCCTGTTTATATTTTAACCACTTTCAAACATTGGTGTACTTTCTTTGCCCAGTCGGGGCGGTGGGGTAGCTTAATGGTTAAAGTGTTGGCTCGTCACACCGAAGACCCGGGTTCGAATCCCCACATGGGTACAATGTGTGAAGCCCATTTCTGGTGTCCCCCACCGTGATGTTGCTGGAATATTGCCAAAAGCGGCGTAAAACCAAACTCAGTCAGTCAGTCAGTCATTTCCCAGTCAGGTTTTGCCTCCATAAAATATCGTCCATGCCAAGACCAACCATTGGTTTTAAACAGTTGTCTTCACGAGATAAGGTTGTTGAAAGTGGTGCATTGGTTTTGTTTGGATTTCCTCTTCAATGTGGCCTAAATATGGATGAGTCTCTCGAAGACATTCTACTTCACACAGCCAATCCACATACACTGAAAATAGAAGAAAATAAAAATACTGTTGACATTGTGTTTTGGGCCGAGAATGTTTAACAATTAGGTGTCATCATAGAAATGTGTAGCTTATATAGTCTATAGCTATTTGCCGGGTGACACGAACAGCCTCAAGCTTGTTATGACCTTGGAACCGATGGTTTATGAAACGTCAATCGAATCTTGACACATCATCAGATGATTATGTCAATATTTGGAGTGTGTCAAAACGACAAAAGATGCGGAAACTACCGTCAAACCAACCACTACTTACCACTAAATCTATGTCATCATTTGTCAATGTTGATAAGAAAATAACGTCTCATGAATAACAGTCGATATATCGAGTCCGGGGGTTGTTAAGTGGCACGTGTTCTGACCTTGACCTGACAGTATCCCTTGCTTATAGATTGAAGTTCCAGATGCCTAATGAAACACTGAGGGAGATAATTGATATAATATCCACAGAACAATACATTGATGAACAAATTATTTTCCTCCCTCCTTAACTATGTTATGCAAACATAATGTATATATAATCACTAGTTGATGAAAACAAGCGAGGTCTTAAATCATTGCGTCTTCAAAGTTTTGAAGGTAATGATATAATTTTCTTAAATATTAAAAAATGATGTTGTCACAGGTGACACCAACATGAAAAACTGTTATTAAACAATACACGCACAGAGGAGTAACTCTATCTAGATACATGACAATAATGACATATATTGTGTAAGCTTGCTATAGATCTATCAGTTATTTGAGTTCGCAGAATAAATTGGGCAGAAAGTACACACACACAGACACACACAGACACGCCCCACCCCACCCCAACACACACACACGCACACGAAAATTATAACAGCCCGAGAGGAGGCTACAGACAATTCAAAACTTCATTTCGAGTCCATTTTTGGTGAAGGTTTTTCTCGAAAATAATGTTGATAATAATATAATTGTACGGGTTGTGCCTAAGGTCATGAAACAATTCCACCTACGTCATTTTGACTTTTCGTACGCCTCGATATAACTGAAATATTATCATTCATACTTAAATATATAACATACACCCATTGTAAGTACATATATCACATTGATCTTCTTAGGTATTAGCGGTACGTTACAGATACTGACGGACGGAAGTCGGCTTGCAGGTTATATGCTCCACAATCTGGTCAATGACCGGTACACACCGACAGCCAGAAGTCGTCTTGGGTGAGTGTATACTACCGTCTGGCTCTTTGCCTGAACACATCCATGTTCAGAACCAATGTTGAGTAAGTGTATACCACAAACTAGTCCGCTGCCTGAACACATCCATGTTCAGAACCAATGTTGAGTAAGTGTATACCACAAACTAGTCCGCTGCCTGAACACATCCATGTTCAGAACCAATGTTGAGTAAGTGTATACCACAAACTAGTCCGCTGCCTGAACACATCCATGTTCAGAACCAATGTTGAGTAAGTGTATACCACAAACAGGTCCACTGCCTGAACACATCAATGGATAGAACAAATGTTGAGTAAGTGTATACCACAAACTAGTCCGCTGCCTGAACACATTAATGGATAGAACAAATGTTGAGTAAGTATTTACCACAATCTGGCTCTTTGTCTGAACACATCAGTTGTCAGAACCAATGTTAGGTAAGTGTATACCACCATCTGGCCCTTTGCCTGAACACATCAACACGCAGAACCAATGTTAGGTAAGTGCATATCACAGTCTGGCCCTTTGCCTGAACACATCAATGGTCAGAACCAATGTTAGGTTAGTGTTTATCACAGTCTGGCTCTTTTGCCTGAACACATCAACATCCAGAACCAATGTTGGGTAAGTGTATATCACCATCTGGCCCTTTGCAAGAACGCATCAACATCCAGAAGTCATCTTGTGAAGTTAAACCCAGCTAAATTATCAAGAATGGGCTTTAGGTGTTAGAGGTTTTGAGAATATGCGTGTAAGCTTAACCATCTGAAGCTGTGACGTCCTTGTGTGTTCCATTCCAGGGGTCGCGGGTTCTATGTTCTTAACAGCACAGTGGTATGGCCCGGAGGAACGAAGACGCCACCCTCAGGACAACCTGCATGTGGCTGGGAGAACGAACACTGCCCCGACAACAGTAAGTACGATTCCTCCAGTATGTACACATACTGACGGTAACGTTTAGTCCAGGTACAACCATGCAATGTCAAAGACAGGGTCATTTCTTCTCAACGCTGACCACGCTGTCTTTACACGTCATTTGTCTGATCCACCCAAGGTACCCCTCCAACCAAACACACATACACACAAACATATGTTTTTCAAATATGCATTAAGTTCAACGAGATCAAAAGGGCGGGTTTACAGAACAGAATGTCAATCACCATGAGTGAGTGAGTTTAATTTTGCGCCGCGTTTAACAATATTCCAGCAATATCACGCTGGGGACACCACAATTGGGCTTTACGCATTGTTTCCATGTGGGGAATCGAACCCGGGTCTTCGGCGTAATGAGTGGATGCTTTAACCACTAGGTTACCCAAATGCCACGAAGCACCATGAAGGGCAGAAGATACGAAAATGTATAAATCTTTCCAAATGATAATATTGATCATATTACTTATATGAAGCATCATACGAGTATCTGGAGACACATGTTGACATCCCTGTTCATCTAAGAATTGAGACCCATTTTATTATTTTCAATGTACCATTATATAAGATACAATTCGTTTGTTCCGGCTCGAACTACCTAACTCTTGGCATTACATTTGCAACATACCAACCGCATTTTTGTATCTCGATCTAATTATGTTAGACGCCATTCTCCGGACAGACACGTTAGTTTCCGAATGGAAGGTTCTAGGGGGAATAACTCTCGCATAATTTACCCTGTTTGTTTATGTTTCAAGCGACCTTCGGGATTGATTTCGGGGAACAAAAACTGATATTGAGGCTGCATTAACCTTTGATCCTCGAAACCGGTGGACAACGTAATGCACAACTGACACGACTTAACAATTAATAGAGTCTTAAGGTCTGCCCGAAGACGCCAAAATGGCCGCATAAAATATTCTCCGCCGAAATATGAGTAAAATAGGTTCCAAGGTTGTCTACATGACTCGTGTTCAGTTCCCCGTGACATACTCCCAAGTATGTCGTATAAAACAATGCCATGACATTTACGCTACTCTGTGTACACAGTGTCTGGACTACTGGACGTTATCTTGTTCGTAAACTGTTTGGATTCTTGGTTTACGACACTTGTTATTGTATTTAGTTACAAAGTCAATACTCCAAGCACAAATGGCACTGTTGTGATCTGAATCAAATGCAAATGATTTAAGTGTTTGGACCATAAATCGATATCGATAACAGTTTTGTGATTTTAATATTACTGATTCTGTTTGAGATACATGTTACTGTATTCAGTTACATAGACAAACTTAGAAATTAAAATGTAGTTCATAAACAAACATTAAAGGGTAGAGATGTTCGTACCTCAAATTATATTACCGGAGTTTTTGTGTTTTTCAGTTCTGTCTTTAGCAAAATTAACCGCAAACATGCTCAGTTTTATGTACTCATTTTATTAGATATTTAATTATTAGTTTTAACGTTATATAATGTATGACCCATCAGGATGTATGTATTTTTTATTAAATGTTTAGTAAGTCAATGTGCCCTGCCAACATGTAAAGTATATTGCTTATATTCCCCGCTTGAACTGCCGAGCTCTTGGCATTACATTTGCAGCACACCATGTGTATCTCGAAGAAATTATATATCTCGAATGAATCATATAGGACGACATTCTCCAGATATCTATCATTAATCAGTTTCTTATAGTGGATAGCATAATAATTTTATAATTAACCGGATATGTTCCGATTGAAATAGATTAAAGGGAATAATAATTAAAGATATTTTTCTGCTGTTTGCTATGAATGCGTAACTGTGTTATTCATACCGATTTGGACCAAGGCGCCTAGATCATATTTAGCTGGTCAGTAATTTGTTGTCCACTGGTCTTTCCAGTGCCGTGGGTCATGGGCCCTCTAGGCTGGACCATAAACTGACCAGGTCAATATATTAATGATCACGTGTTAGTGATAGTGGTGTCAGTTAAGAAACAAAACAACTGCAGTTTGAAATTGACAGGAACCCATCATATATACTCACCACTCACAAAACCTGTTGAAGTACATTAAATTACGAGTGCTATTATCTCTCCCTCTTTGTTTATTACCTTACAGTGCTAGATCTCCTACCAGGATTATTTGCGCTTGGATTAACCACTGGCTTCTATTTATTCACCGCCATTACCAATCAGCACACGAATTATATACTGTCTTCCCTTGTTAAGTCCCCACCATTGTTATCTATCACTGATGTTGTTTCACATGTACTTACATAGCTATCTGCTTCCTAGTTTTTCATTTACATACTAAAGGAGTGAGAAAATACTCCGAAACTTCTTGTTCCTCAAAATAAATACATTTACGAACTCAAAGGGACCACTATTTTTAATTCGCTATAGCCATAGTTCGCAATAAACATTTGGACTATAATGTACAACAAGCATGAAATGGTTCGTTATATCCATCAGTTCGTTTTAAGCGTGTTCATTACATACATTACTCTATTTTGCTTCCCTTTCGTCATGTTAGAATTTCGAAAAGCGTGTGTGCGCCATGTTAACTTCAATATATACATTTTATTCTGAAAGACCCTCTTTAATATACTGATGGGGGCCGTCGGGTAGCCAAGTGGTTAAAGCGTTTTCTCGTCACGCCTTCGGGTTCGACACATTGTACCCATGTAGGCAGCCCATTTCTGGTGTCCCCCGTCGTGATATTGCTGGAACATTGCTACAAGCGGCGTAAAACTAAACTCACTCACTCACTAATATACTGCCTCACATCTCGAACAGTTAAAATACATTCTGTCACGGCTAAACGTTAATGTGGTATTATGTCTTTGGAGTCAACATTCTGATGCTTGTTGAACTCTCTTGACAGCTATTGCCATCATCCTGGGCAGTGTCGGCGGCATCTGCGGCGCCCTTGTCATCATCATCGTTGCTGGGATCATCATCAGCAAGTAAGATTCTCTCATTAAGGGACGGTGGTGTCACCTGGCTGCTCGTCAAGCCGAAAACCCGAACAATACATGGCACCTGCTGTGCCCTACAATAATTGTGACACCCGTGAAGATCAGGATTAGAATTGATCTTCAGCAACCCATCGTTGTAAGAGGCGACTAACGGGATGGAGTGGTCAGGCTCGCAGATTTGGTTGACACATGTCAGCGTATCCAATTGTGTTGATCGATCCTCATACTGTTGATCACTGGATTTTCTGGTCCAGACTCTGTTATTTACAAACCGCCGCCATATAGCTGGAATATTGCTGAGCGCGGCGTTAAACTACAAACAGACAAACCACAGAACTTTGGGGGTTATATTGCTAAACATTTCACCCCGTCTCTGTGCGTAACCCAACTTTCTATTTGCGATGGGTGAATGGGAAAGGTCACGTTGTGAGTGAGTGAGTTAGTGAGTGCGTGAGTGAGCGAGTGAGTGCGTGAGTGAGTGAGTGAGTGTGTGAGTGAGCGAGCTAGGTTTCACGTTGCTGTTATCAGTGAAATCACATGGTAATGTGTCTGTAAATATTCTGGAGCATAATACGGCTTCTTGAACGGTATACTTCCCATGGAGCACATAACGAAATTTGTGTCACACTCAATCTATGAATCATCATTTGGGTGAACTGAATCTGGTGAATGTTAATAGTAGTGTCCGCTTTCTCCAGACGCCGGATTGCACAGGCTGACCTGCAGAGACTGGACTGGAGGATCCCATCCGACCAGCTGACCGTTAAACAAGGCATCCGATCCTTCCACGGAAGCATGATAAGTAAAGTGTGTTGCGGGAAAATAGATCCACCCACTGTCAATATTAAATTATAATCAAAGACTGAATAGAAGTAATAGCAGATATGCATCGGCCTATCGCCGGTTTCAAATATTGATTGGTTTATTGAATTCTGATGTTAAACATTATGTACCGACCTTTCAATATTCGAGCTGTGTATGAGTGGATATTTGGGATTTATTTTGGGACAGAATATAAACATTACTATATTTTATTACTTGATCATAACTTAACAGGTAATATTGTCTGTTCTGATTTGCATAATGGGTAGAGCGTCCCCCGGGAGGTCGGTATTTCGATCTACGTCATACAAATATATGTTATGATGGGATCTGTTGTTTCCCTGCCTGGAGCTTGGCTTTAAGGGGATAAACAAGGAGTTAACACGCTGTGTTCGATATCGATATCCGTTGGCTAGTACTATGGAAAATCTGGTCCCCATAAAAACGGTATAAACAGTCTCTCTCTCTCTCTCTCTCTCTCTCTCTCTCTCTCTCTCTCTCTCTCTCTCTCTCTCTCTCTCTCTCTCTCTCTCTCTCTCTCTCTCTCTCATCTCTCACATACTCTCTCTCTCACACATACATAAACTATGTAAACAGACACATAAAGGCATACATAAAGGCATACATACTCCCCCCCACACACACACACACACACACACACACACACACACACACACATATGTGCATGAACGTCGCTTGTTGTGTATATTTAAACCCCATTTCACCACACCTCACCTCCGTGTGTATATGGACGTCTTGTACAGGCTGTTGGTATTTCCAGGCAACATTTGGGATGCACGGGTCCAAGCTATCTGTTCCCTCAGTCGACAGTGGTACGACAGTTGACTCCAGAGGAGGTCAGATATTCTCCAGGACTGCACTTTACGATGGTCAAATAGTGGCCTTGAAGACCATCCACAAGTCTTACGTGGCCCTAACCAAGGACGTTATTCAGGAGATAAACCGAGTAAGTAGTCACACAGTTAGCACTCGTCATGTGCTGGGCTGCGAGAAAATTCTAGCCTTCACCCAGGACAGCATTGACAGAGATGTCTTACACCAGTTCCACGACGGGAAACACTGACACTTGTTGTCCTTTCCCACACCAAACCGAAATATTATCATTTACCCCTAAAGATCGGTTACACGAAGGTGTACACTACGAATTGCAACTTGCCCCATACATTCAGAAACAATATCAGTTTGTCCGTCTTAAATCAGTAACATTTCGGAGAACTCAGATAATTGATTTGGCTACGGATTTATGAATCGAATCCAGGACTGTAGAGCTTCTTAATAATAATAATAGTAACATTTCTTGTATAGCGCAGAAATCAAAGATAAGGCAATTTTTGCGCTAAAGATAGAGTGATTGAAGAAAGGATTAAAGTTCAGAAGCTTGTTTAAAAAGGAAAGTTTTCAGTTGGGACTGGAAAGATTCCACGGACGCATCACCACTACCCAGTTGCACAATAGATACCTGTGTGACGGTGTGAAGGATGAAACCGGTTCTGTGTCTGAACGTATAAATGCCATAACGTCCTAGATACCAGATCTGACACTTGTCAGTTCGATCAAACTCAATTTGTTTGTTGGTTACAGATACGAAACCTGAAACACCCCAATATAAACCAACTGGTTGGTGTGTGCATGGAGCCGATGAAGCTGTGTCTGGTTTGGATGTACTGCCCAAAAGGGAGTCTCGAGGACGTCTTGCACAACGAACGTATCAAACTGGACTGGATTTTCAAGTTCTCCTTTGCCTCTGATATAGTGAAGGTACGCTCATTGCTGGTTGCCAAGGGTTACGGAGGTTGTGTCAATGTCTGATCATTTAATCGAAAATTACGTATCAATTCCAGGTACAACATGTGGCAGAAAATAGTGATAGAGACTGACGTGAGACAGTCAATAGACCAGTTCTTGGTACAGCTTCAGATATGCCTTATACCCGTGTCAGATCACGTGAAATTGACAATAGAACATTGTTCGGTACCACGTGAGACAGTCAATAGACCAGTTCACGGTACAACTTCAGATATACATTAGACCAGTGTCAGAACATCTGAGATGGACAATAGAACACAACTATTGTTCGGTACCACATGAGACAGTCAGTAGACAAGTTCTTGGTACAACTTCAGATATACCTTAGACCAGTGTTAGAACATCTGAGATGGACAAAAGAAGATTGTTCGGTACCACGTGAGATAGACACGTGACAAATGTCTGATCACGTGAGGGAGGCATTATTAGATCAGTGCTCGGTACAACATTTGACAGTCAACAGAGGTTGATCCCTTCATGATGGTGGAAAACCGGAAATCATCTGTCTCAAACGTATATCATTCTGATGAAATCCACGTATGGTGCCTACACAGATTAAGAAAACATTGATATAACCCTGTCTTCCATTGATACATATGTCAGTGATATAAAGACTTGATGCCCATGTTTAGGGCATGATCTACCTCCATCACTCTCCTGTGGAATGTCACGGCCGTCTCAAGACTAGCAACATCCTCGTGGACGGACACTGGTCATGCCGGATAGCGGATATGGCCATGCCTTACTTCCGGGAGGGAGAACGTTCTAACAAGGATGGGGAGCACGCAGAATTTTACCGTAAGTGGGCACCGGGGATTAATAAGTGTGGTAAATGTCGTAAAACCTTGATTTATGTCTTTATTCTTTGAATGGATTGACTATTCACGTCATACGTTTCTGTACGTCTACCGGCGAGACCCGTGAAGGTCCGGGTTAGAATGAACCTTCAGTAACCCATGCTTGTCGTAAGAGGCGACTAACGGGATCGGGTGGTCAGGCTCGCTGGCTTGATTTACACATGTTATCGGTTCCAAATTGCGCAGTTCGATGCTCATGCTGTTGATCACTGGATTGTCTGCTCCAGACTCGATTATTTACAGACCGCGCCATATAGTTGGACTATTGCTGAGTGCGGCGTAAAACTAAACTCACTCACTCACTCTACCGGCGAGAGTAACATTTAGGGCCATCACATGTGCCGTTGTGCTTACGTGTTTTACGTGTTATTCTACATCGCCACAGTGTTATGATGTTAGGTCCAGACAACGATATCACATGTTTGTGGGCTGACATTGTGATACGTTATATTCACGTCACAACGTTGTAGTTACGTCTTTGTAACGTCGTACTGTGCGTCCTGGGATATTTTACGTTTCGGTAAATCATAAGTATAACACCTTGTCGAGGTTGCATTGTACGTTGTGGAAATGTTATACTATTTATTTGTTCCATGCAATGTTATTCTATGGACAACCATGGGTGTTGTAACAACGACCTCAGCTTTATATCCAATAGACTTCAGAGGAGGCCGGGTCGGATGGGTAGCCTAGTGGGGAAAGTGTTCGCCCGTCATGTCCAGGACCGGATCACTGAAGGCGACATAACTCAACTGATTTTGTAGGAAAACACCATACACTATTATCAATATGTCGACATGTTAAATGTCGTTTTTCATTCCACCATGTATCACTGCTAGCTACTTGAAACGCCACCGAAATGTCTGACGGAAATCAATGGACGTTTTGAAGAATATGATCATTTTTACGTGTATATATTTATATATAATATATAATATATATTAACCATAGTATATTAACGCTATTTTCAGAGAAATTGTGGACTGCCCCTGAAATACTTAGGGATCCTGAAGAATTTCCGAAGGGCAGCAAAAAAGGCGATACATTCTCTTTTGGGATAGTGCTCCAAGAACTTATTCTAAGGACTGGGCCCTATGGAGATTCTCAGTTGAACCCAAAAGGTAATGTCACTTAAAAGCGCATGTATCTCAAGGGATCTGTTAAAATATGAGACTATATATGCCCCGAACACTATGTGTCGCACAGCCATTGTAGCATAAGACGATATCCAAAAACACAGGTCATGTGTCATATACTTACTGTAGTATAAGACGATATCCACCAACACAGGTCATGTGTCATACACTCACTATAGTATAAGACGATATCCACCAACACAGGTCATGTGTCATACACTCACTGTAGTATAAGACGATATCCACCAACACAGGTCATGTGTCATACACTCACTATAGAATAAGACGATATCCACCAACACAGATCATGTGTCATACACTCACTGTAGTATAAGACGATATCCACCAACACAGGTCATGTGCCATACACTCACTGTAGTATAAGACGATATCCACCAACATAGGCCATGTGTCATACACTCACTGTAGTATAAGACGATATCCACCAACACAGGTCATGTGTCATACACTCACTGTAGTATAAGACGATATCCACCAACACAGGTCATGTGTCATACACTCACTATAGTATAAGACGATATCCACCAACACAGGTCATGTGTCATACACTCACTATAGTATAAGACGATATCCTCCAACACAGGTCATGTGTCATACACTCACTGTAGTATAAGACGATATCCACCAACACAGGTCATGTGTCATACACTCACTGTAGTATAAGACGATATCCACCAACACAGGTCATGTGTCATACACTCACTGTAGTATAAGACGATATCCACCAACACAAGTCATGTGTCATACACTCATTGTAGTATAAGACGATATCCACCAACACAGGTCATGTGTCATACAATCACTGTTGCATAAGATGATATCCACCAACACAGGTCATGTGTCATACCTTCACTGTAGTATAAGACGATATCCACCAACACAGGTCATGTGTCATACACTCACTGTAGCATAAGATGATATCCACCAACACAGGTCATGTGTCATACACTCACTGTAGTATAAGACGATATCCATCAACATAGGTCATGTGTCATACACTCACTGTCATATAAGATGATATCCAATACACGTGTTGCAGAGTCAATGTGGTATGAGACGATATCCATCTACACAGGTCATGTGTCATACACTCGCTGTAGTATAAGATGATATCCCCCATCAACACAGGTCATGTGTAATACTCTCACTGTAGTATAAGATGATATCCACCAACACAGTTCATGTGTCATACTCTCACTGTAGTATAAGATGATATAAGGCGTGAGACGATATCCACCATCACAAGTCATGTGTCGTACAGTCAATGTGGTATGAGACGAAATTGACCAAAATGTACACAATAACCATATGTCTTGAGTGTACCTCGCTACAGTTACAACTGCGTTTCCTACTTCCAGATATAGTGTCTCGTGTGAAGACGACAGAGCACCCCCCCTACAGACCGGTGGTGGAGGGTGGGGATGCTCCTGACGCCATGCTGGACCTCATGAGGATATGCTGGGAGGAGATTCCTGCATTTAGACCCAACTTCTCCACCATAGAATACAGCCTGAAGAAACTCAATAAGGGAAAGTAAGTGTCATGTACTTATCTCACGCACGCACGCACATGCACCCATTAACACACTGTATTATTATTATTACCGACACTTTAATATTTTGGGAATTGATTTGTGGTACAAACGTATCAACACAACTCAACTCCTACCAACACTCTCATTCACACACACGAACACACACATACACCTACTTCCATACTAACATTGACACTCACGCACAAATGGCCACTAAAACTAACGCACGCACGCACGCACGCACGCACACGCACACACTCAAACCAACTCAGTACTCATGTAAACCACCGGCCATGGATGCTCCTTTGTACAGCACAAGATCGACATGTTTCAGGGTGGTGAGTCTGGTGGACCAGATGGTACATATGTTATCCAACTACGCGGACCATCTGGAGGAGTTGGTTGATGAGAGGACCAACCAGCTGGAGGAAGAGAAGAAGAAGACCGAGGAGTTGCTGTGTAGAATGTTGCCCAGGTGAGTCATTGTTTCGTGTAGAATGTTATAAGGTTCAGTCACAGTGAAGTGCATAACCAGGTGTCATGCTGTTGCGAAGAGTGTTAGTCTCAGAGCATTGTACAATGTTATCCAGGTGAGTCACATGGCTGTAAAGAATGTTATCCAGGTGAGTCACAAGGATGTACAGAATGTTATCCAGGTGAGTCACAAGGATGTGCAGAATGTTATCCAGGTGAGTCACATGGATGTACAGAATGTTATCCAGGTAAGTCACAAGGATGTACAGAATGTTATCCAGGTGAGTCACAAGGATGTACAGAATTTTATCCAGGTGAGTCACAAGGATGTACAGAATGTTATCCAGGTGAGTCACATCGCTGTATAGAATGTTATCCAGGTGAATGTTATCCAGGTGAGTCTCATGGATGTACAGAATGTTATCCAGGTGAGTCTCATGGATGTACAGAGTTTTATCCAGGTGAGTCACATGGCTGTACAGAATGTTATCCAGGTGAGTCTCATGGATGTACAGAGTTTTATCCAGGTGAGTCACAAGGATGTACAGAATGTTATCCAGGTGAGTCACATCGCTGTACAGAATGTTATCCAGGTGAGTCTCATGGCTGTATAGAATGTTATCCAGGTGAGTCTCATGGCTGTACAGAATGTTATCCAGGTGAGTCACAAGGATGTACAGAATGTTATCCAGGTGAGTCACAAGGATGTATAGAATGTTATCCAGGTGAGTCACATGGTTATCCAGGTATAGAGTCATGTAGAATGTATCCAGGATCTGATTTACACAGTGTATCCAGAGGTGAGTCACATGGCTGTAAAGAATGTTATCCAGGTGAGTCTCATGGATGTACAGAATGTTATCCAGATGAGTCTCATGGCTGTATAGTATGCTATCCTAGTGAGTCACATGGCTGTAAAGAATGTTATCCAGGTGAGTCACAAGGATGTACAGAATGTTATCCAGGTGAGTCACATGGCTGTATTGAATGTTATCCAGGTGAGTCACAATGCTGTATAGAATGTTATCTATGTGAGTCACAAAGCTCTGTGGAGTTAGATCTAGGTGATTTACACAGTTGTGTAGAATGTTATTCAGGTAAATCAAGATGCTTCGGACATGGGAATGTAGTGCGTGACTTTTACTCCTACTGCCTGGCGTTGATGTGTAAACGTTTGCAAATGAGACGAAACATTTCTATTTTCTCTTTGGTACTTTAGACATAACTTCATATACATTCGGCATTTCTCGATTCTCCAATCAGAACTGCAGCAACCAGTGATGTCTCTGTATCGTTACATGATGACTCTTATTCTCGACTCTTAGATCTGTCGCCGAGAACCTGAAGAAGGGGAAGAATGTCGAACCGGAATCTTTCGGCTCCGTCACCATTTTCTTTTCAGACATCGTAGGATTCACCGCACTTGCAGCCAGTAGCACACCGTACCAGGTTTGTAAACTATTCTGTACCAAATTTTTTGTCTGTTTGTTCCTTTGCTGTTTCTTTGTCTTCCAAATAAATGAAAATGTTATAACTTACAGCGTGGAGTGAGTGAGTGAGTGCCAGCATACAAAGTCAGCCGCCTAACCAACAAAATGGACCGAAAAGGTCGGACAACTCATAGTTTAGACCCCGGACCATGTGCATCCCTGTGATGAGTGTAAATGGTGGAATTTTTGTGGTCGCGGTGGTTATCACATTATCACGTGTTTTGGGAAACTGCTATTAACGATAACGGTTCCTCAAGTGAGCAAATCAAAATTGTGAACAGTAGACGTCGAACGCCAGATCACCAGTCTCAATTTTCTGCCGAATTTGATTCCACTTGTGGCAAAAACTTAAATAACGGCACACCTATGAACAGACCATTGAAAATAAGGGTCACATCAGGTGTTCGTGAGCGAGAAATACGCATGATTTCGCCTACTGCTAACATGCGTTACTCACACAATGTGCATAAAAAGTATATTATTGTTTAATCTCTGTCGACGAATATCTGTTCTCATTCCTTTCGAAACCCGTGAAGATCCAGGTTAGAATTGGTCTTCAGTTCTCCCAAGCTTGTCGTAAGAGGCGAAGAACGAGTTCGGGTGGTCAGGCTCGCTGGCTTGGTTGACTCATGTCATCGTAACCCAAGATTGATGCTCATGCTGTTGATCACTGGGTTGTCTGGTCCAGATTCGATTATTTACAGACCGCCACCATATAGCTGGAATATTGCTGGGTGCAGCGTAAAACAACAAACCTAAACCAAAAACAATTCCATACAAGAAATATTTTTCTTCTACTCATCATAACAACAAAGAGGACCAGATTGACTTTTAATCAACATGTTGTATTCCATCTCTAGAACTCGCCCCCCTCTTTTTGTGTCTCATAAAATCTATTGCCAATTTGTACAACTGGATAGTGTGCAGCTGTGTACCTACTGTCTGTTCTGCAAAAGTGATCTGCTTAGTCAAACCAAGTTTCTTGTCAAACTACGTTTAAAACGAATAGACTGATACAGAACTGGTGGATATGTCGAACAGCGTCTGGTTCCGACCATTTTCTGTATGTCTTAGTCGAAGTGCGTTTAACGGACTACGGACATAACGAAGTCAACTCCCGTAGTCAACTGTAGTCTGGAAGAGGGGGCGGTATTAACATAACCTTGCTGTGTTTGTTTAATCCAACATTTTGAAAAATCAACAAGTCTAAACGACGAATTGTATTTTGTCTTTGAAGGTTGTCAACTTCCTGAACGATCTTTACACCTGCTTTGACAACATCATCGACACCTATGACGTGTACAAGGTACGGTATAATCCCTTTTGGCCTTGAGTCAAAACTTATTATAAGAAATCTCTGCTAAACGCATGATGACGGTTTGTGGAATTTAATTAAGTTTTGTATTTCATCAACGGTCGTCTATATTGTGTACATGTTAAGAGTATAATAGTTTTTTTGTTGTGTATATATTTAAAATATATATACTGATCTCCTCAACAACATCAAAATTTATCATGTTTATTGGTTTGAGGAAGATAAATCTTTCAGTGTATAAAATTCACCCTGTTCTTTAAGGGGATATTACATTTCAGTTTTGAATTAAAACATAATACATTTGACGACATATTTATCAAGAGATACGTGAAAGCAATGTACCGGGTTAAGTGTATTGACGTTTTCACAAAGAAATTATTTGAAAATATTGTCGATCATTTATTCTGTGGAGATTTAGTTTATTTATATTAATGGAAATGTTTCTGGGAAATCGATTATCCGTGATATCATTTCAACCTATATCTTCTTGAAGATTAGATAAATTAATAGTATATAACTTTTTATATTAAAACAGGAAATAATGTCATCATAAAAAAATATTGACCTACTTATGTCATTGTAAAGTTATCCATAATTTGTTTATGTGTTGTTAGCAGATTCTACAGTCTATTGTACTGATAATTATTTTTCAATATAAAGGCGACAAAGAGTATCCCCGTTAATGAAGCGGAATAGCTTTGTATAAAATCCCTAATAGGACTCTATTTTGTTAACCCAGTTTCTATCATTTATGATCTACTTCAATGTTCATCTACAATAGTTCAATCAGACTTTGGTCGTCGGCAATGTTGAGTGCAGTCGGACGTTGTCTTATATATTGTCCCCAAATAACGAACACGCCTTTTCAAGTGGAATATTTACATGCCAGAAGGTATTAATGATTTCTCGGAAATGAAAACAGGTTTTATTGTATGCTTTGTTCTGCGAGTGTCAGTTCAAATACGGTATTTTGATTGATTCTTCGACCTTTTCACACTCTTTCTTCACAGTCCTCGGTTTTATTATTTTCGCATTAGTCTATTCCTGTAGAAATAGATAGTTATTATTTTCATTCTAAACAACGGGTTTGGAACGTAATTTTCTGGAACAATCATTAATGCCTTTTCAGGATTTTAGATAAGTTTTAAAAAGTAAGAGAGTGAAAATGTAATGGCAAGTGGCCCATAGCATAATTGAGGTGTCAGAGTGGTTTTCATGTGAGGTTTAATATCTATAATATCTCCTACGTCCCTTTAATAGCAAATAACTGGCATTTTATGAATATTATTAGCGTGCCCTGATTTTTGCTTTATCTTTTAGTTACAAATAAGGCTTAATACATGTATAATCCGTTAAAATGTTTGATGTACATATTGATTGAGGCCGTTTTAAACATGAATATATATATTCCGTCTTGGACACCTTTGTTCAAGCCAGACATTGGCAGGTCAGTAAAAAATAGCACATATCGTACATCTTAATGCCAATTATATTACCATTACCGTCAAGTTGCTATCAGATTATCCATTCACGCCTCAGGCTCGGTTGCAGCGATTTAAACGCACATAAATATCAACGATTTATATCTTCAAATCCCTCTTGTTCTTGTGGCTACTGTTACGAAGATCCAATTCACTATTTCTTTTCGTGCGCTAATTACACTGACATAAGACATAAAATGCACTTCTATACTAAAGGATATGACATCAAAACAATACTATACGGTCACGCTCATGGATCTACTAAAGGTAATCTTGAATTATTAGAATCTATCCATTCTTTCATTGAACTGTCAGGCAGATTTGTGTTGTAATATAAAAACGAAATTGCACTTACTATTAAGTATTTTCCGACACTAATGGTTCTAACATTAAAAGCGGCTATATTACAGTTTATGATAGTTACATTTCAAGAAAGCTATTGTTTATCGTTTGTTAATATCATGTTTTTCTCCGTACGATTATTATATCTATAATATATCTGTATTCCGGAGCGGTATTCATATAAGCACCATACTGCTTGTTTACCAATCCGGTTCCTCTTTTGGAAATAAATATGTTTAAACCAAGTTGCTATAATGATAATAATAATGAATTAATACCCTTGCTAGGGATTACGTCATGATTCCATTTAAAATAATTTTATCAAATACTGAAGTACCCGAATTGGCTAGCTACAAACAGAGCTAGACAACCAGACTCGCCAAGATCAACCTTATAAGAAGCCTTTCTTTATAACACAGGAACATTTTAAAATATAGTGTATGAATATTTCATTTGCCAAATTTCCTCGCCATACCCAAAACAGGTAATAACCATTATCATTTATTTTGCTTAACTAATTAATAAATAGGTATGGCTGCTTTTGTCATTTATCCCATATATTTCTGATCTAATCTTGAATGATAAATGTCCATGTTCAGAGAAAATAACACCCTTCCTGGAAAATAAGAACTTTACACTTGGCCGTGAGTCAGCAGTTTTTGCAAACCGGAAAGATTTTAATGGAACACTATACAATATCATCAGCAAACTGCTACCCGACACCGTAAAGAACAACAACCCAAAATGTGTCATCTATAAAATAAACTGTGATTGTGGGCAGAGCTACATAGGCGAAACGTCCCGACCCATCAACACCCGAGTGAAAGAACATCAGACCTCTGTTACCAATTCCGACAGCAAATCAGCCATTTCCGACCACATCAAAGCAAGCCCCAATCATCAAATAGAGTGGTCTGACATCACCATTCTCTCTAACAAACAAACAGACTTCACTAAACGCAAGCTCACCGAAGCCATCCACATCAAACGCCAAAAGCCCACCATCAACCGAGACCAAGGATATTTCATTTCCATCCGCTTATGATGCACTCATCCACCAAGCCCAATCTACTGTATAAACTCTGCTGTATAAACATCTCATTATTATTTGTACATCATTGGCTTCCACGCCTGTCCTTTGCCTACTCTCTGGCTTCATCAGCTTTCTGCCTCGCCAATTATGTTAATTATGTTGTTTTCTTTGTTACATTGTTACATCCAGCATATATATAGTTCCCCCTTCTTCATGTTCCATTATGCTTGACAACGGTACAAGAATCTTAATCGAAACGTCGCACTCACGAATAAAAAGAAGTTGTTATCCATAAAGTTTGTTCTATATTGTACTTCCCAACTTCTAAAATGCCACTCAAAGAAGTTATCAGCAAACAATACTAGCACAATATAACCTATTTCATGAGGTATACATATTCCCGGAGAAAACTCCAGCCTCATTAGCTCATTTTAATATAAAATACACCAACAAAATCCGAAACAAATTGGGACTAAGTACTAGACAATATCGATCCAATGTTTTTCGGTTAGAAAAATATTGAAACGTTTTCCCCTTTTAGCGAACGCCTAGTGTCATCACTGATTTAAAGGGATCGATTCAAATATTTCTCACCACGTTTTTGCTTTTCACGCCTTATGGACCTGTTCTGGGACTGATTATCCTCTGGGGTGTTGACATTATATATTTTCTATATGGAACATCTATTATACATGGTTAAACAGGGATCACCACTTTACCAGCAATTAACATGTACAATGTAAATAATATTAATCGCCGCGAATTTCACAATGACGTCGACGATGATTTATGCTGATATCGGATGACAAATGTTTCGACGGCTTAATTTAGAAATTACTCCTGCACAATCAAAACCAATACCAATGGTTCTTGTCTAATGTTATCAATTATTCTGTAAGTAGTATCGATTTTCACCGCTCTGTTTCCTTTAATGCCATATCGAATTTGTTTCGTCACATAAAGGTGATTGGTCATTTCCTGGCGCACACGGTTTATAATTGTCATCAGGCCGAGCTGGGTAGGGAAATTGTCAAAATCGATAAAAAGTGGGCTGGTATTGGGTCACCTTGTCTGCATCCTTGTTTACAGGTAGACAGAAGTATGTTGCATACACGGATTTATACGTTAGATAATGAGGTATAGTTGGAAGGTGACTTGTGTAGACAGAACGAAAATATAGTTACTGCAATAACATCATTTCTTATGGAAGTAGCCAAGGAGTTTAATTTTGGCTACACCTATTTTTCTATACTAAGTGTTGTTTTCATGTTTTTATTTGCGGCATGAGTTAGTGAAAAACTACAGAAATGTTGTTTTTGTTGCTGTTTTTTCCGCAGTTAACATTCTTCATTTTTCTTAGTAGGTTCGATCATTAATTGAATATTTTCGAGTATTGTCTGAAATGTTCGAGTATTTATTAAACATACGAACGAGAAAATAATCATAGTTATGAGAAAATATTCGAAATAACGAAACAAATAGAAACTTTGAAAAAAATAATATAAATAACGCGAATATGAAAGAAGCAACGAAAACTTCGAAGAAATATTCTCTAAATGAAATAATGAGGAATTTCGATTTTAAAAATAGATTTATACTGCCGATGTGGAACCATTAGGCTTTCGTAGTATCTAAAATTAAATAACATTCTTGACAGTCAATCAATCAATTGACCGAATGACATGTTACAAATAGAGCGGAAAGACACACTGTGTAAATGCATTAGTACACATGAGCCCACTGTAAACCTGTACATAATGGGGTCTAATGATGCTCTCGGGAGTAAGATAAACATGACATCAGATTCAATAATCACGATTAGTGCTAATATGTTGCATGTTCCTAAATCAATTCCTAGCATGCCATTGTTATACACATCTGATGTGTTTGAAAGAGGTTTCATATGGATTTTTTTATATACTTTTTGTTTGGTTAAAAAAATTCATCAACAATCATTTTGGTAAAAACGTTATAAATATGGTCCTTGTGTGGAAACATCAACCATTGGACTATGTGAAAACATTAAACATTTCTGGCCTTGAGACTTAATTGGATCCGTTCTGTGACTACTCTTATGGAAACTGTTTTGTTGTGTGTTTTTGTAATCTGATCAGGTTGTGGTGAACTAGAACAGCACCAACTCGCCCTCGAACTAAGTTACACTTGAGTAGGTCGGCCCATTAATGTTATTATTTTACTCAGCATGTTTGTGTTTCATCCAGCTGTCTTCACTGTAATCATAGTGCAATTAAGGGAAACGCTTAAAGGAACATAATAGACAGGGAGCTTAGGGCTATTTTCAGGGCATTTGGTTCAGATTCTTCCAAAAGCACCAAAGTAAGTAAAGTTGACTTTTTCTGAGATCAATGTTGGGAAAGGGTTTATCCTTGGTGAATATTTGAAGTTGTCAGAATAAGTTTGGTTATGGGCCTAAACTCACTTTAGCAAAATACAGTCAAACATCGGTGTGTCGCAGGTATTCTTGTCTCAATGTAAAAGCCTGGTCTCTGAGTATTCCTTATTTACTCACCATTTTGGGTTTGTGTCGAACATCGGAAACGTCGAAGTATTTTGGTAGGTCCTTTCATCTTCGACACAAACACGTTTGACTGTATTTGTCACGCAAACTAACAACAACTATAATGAGTCTTATTGACTATGCCATACCACCTCACTCACTTCTCCATCGGTAGCAGACGGGTATCCTAGCAATTAAAGCATTCTCTTAGCGATTTCCTAAATGTTCACAATGTTGTGAAAACTATTTCTGGTGCCACCGTCTGTGATATTGTCACGGCATCGCTAAATTTCACTCACTCACTCACTCATTCAAACACATATGTTTTTGGTTCCAGGTGGAAACTATTGGCGATGCCTACATGGTGGTGAGCGGACTTCCGGTTTCTAACGGAATGCGGCATGCTGGAGAGGTGGCTATGATGGCGCTGGATTTGCTGAGCTCTGTGAAACACTTCACTATAAGACACATACCTGAAAAACAGCTGCAGTTGCGGATTGGCATCCACAGCGGTAGGGTGCTGACTTTGTCCATCACTCAGCAATGATGCTGAAGAGTAACAGTACCATTAACAGTTATAGTTTAGTGAATGAGTTCAAAACTTCACTGTAACACAGCTTTAACACTTTAACATCAGTCAATCTAGATATACAAATCCTTCTGTCTTAACTTAAAGCAGTTTGGGGTACGTGGTTGTACTTTACACTGAAGAAGGGTCAAAATATCACAGTCAGGCTGTGGTTAAGACACTGGATCTGGACTTCGCTACTCAAAGTAATCTTAGCGTCACGATAACCGGATGACGCTGTTTAAGCAAGGGCGTTAAGGGTCACCTTAGCTTTAAGACAGCTTTGTGGAACGGGGCCCTAGGCTCTGTCGTAGCAATCGTGCCACCAAGACGATATCGCATAGTTTACGAACGACAGTCTTAAACTAAGGAACTGATGATAATTCCCATACCTTATCATTTAGCTTACATCGCTTCGTGAAGCTACAACATTCATAACTGAACCCCTACACATTACAACACACTTATAACAGTAGTAGCGTGAGGCAGCTGTAGCTCCGTTACACCAATATAGAAATACATTCTAAGACGATCGAGTCACAACAGCCTTAACGCTAAGACGATCACAGATATCACGCTTTTGGCAAGACTTACAACAGTCCCAACAAGGTTCTTGAGAGGCATATAGAAGTTAATAGCTAGCGCTATGAGCATACCTGGTGTGGAGTTTGGCGCTTTATAAATGGACACATTATTATTATTATTTTACAGATTAAAGATAGTATGCAGCAGAGAGGGTTCGGGTGATCCTGGCACAGTCAGGCTGGTAAGGCTCATCATCAGCTCAGGGCCCTTGCCCCCTCTACACGCAGCCCAGACAGCGAATGGGACTTCTCCCAGGAAACGCTGCCTAGTCGAACCCACCAAGAACTTTCCGGAGAATATGAAGGCTCCCCAACACTGCAGCCTTCTGCATTACCCAGAGTGTCAGAAGGGCTGTACTCCCGGTGGAGAACCCGGGCACTCTCCTGATCTGCGCCGAGAGATCAGGAGGTACCAAACCAAGGGCACCGAGAACAATGGGGAGCCTGGCGACAGTGTTCTTGGGATGCAAGCGAGACATTTCAAAGGCGAGGTCCGCATATTTATCATGCTTTTCCTGAATCTTGCAAATCACTTTATTGTCAAAAGGGACAGAAAATTCAATGATATAAATAAATTCATTGGCTTTATCAAAAAGGACAAGATCAGGTTTGTTGGCTGGAATTCTTCTGAGGCTGTATATGGGCCTATTCCACAGAAGTTTGAAAGCATCATTTTCCATGACGCCCTGGACATGTTCAGGGTCGTACCATGGATGGACCTCGGAGTCAAAGCCACAGGCATGGCGGAGACGGTAGTAAAAGCAACGAGCCATGCCATCATGTCGTTTAAGATATGATGTTTGTGCCAAGGAAGGGCATCCACTGACAAGGTGTTGGACAGTCTCCGTGAATTCATTGCAAAGTCGACATTTCATATTGATATTTTCTTTAAGAATCACATTTAGGCGATTGAGAGTGGGAAGTGACTGGTCCTGAGCAGCAAAAAGGAAGACCAGCCGACTTCATCCAGGCGAAGGAGTCGGTGGGATTGCTATTCTGTTCAACACACTGCATGTACACACGATGCAATGGCTTCTCAGAAAGCTTCTCCACAAAAGACCGACTCTGGGCAGACTTGGTGAAGGACTTCACCTGGTTTACTCCCATCACTGTACCGTCCAGCAGTACATCGCCATCAACAAAATCAACCTCAAATCTCAGATTCTGTCCAACAACCTTGGCACGCTTAAAATAGCTGTGGAATTCCTTGCTTTCATCATGAGTCTTCACATGCATCACTAGAGGATCATCCGATAAATAAATATGTGCAAAAGTACACAATAAAATTCTATCATGAAAAGCCTCCACATTAATCAAACCCCGACCTCCAGAATTGATTGGCATGTATAAACGGTTAAGAGAGGAACGAGGGTGGTGGGCTCTGTTATCAGACATGATCCTTCTGGTCAGACGGTCAAGACTCTGGATGTCTTGTTTTGTCCAATCAACTACACCAAAGGAAAAGGAAAGGACTGGCACAGCAAAAGTATTGGTGGCTTTGACCTTGTTTCGAGCATTTAGCTCTGAGCTCCAGATTTTCTTTAAACGAGATTTGTACTCGGCCCGAAGTTTGTCTTGAATCTGGGCATTCTGGAACTTGTCTCGAACTTGCATGCCAAGATAGGTGTAGGCCTGATCTTCCACAAGATGCTCAATAACTCCTCCCCCTTGTTATTATTATTATTATTATTATTATTATTATTATTATATTCAAGTATAAGACAAATATTATGGATGTAGACTTCTTCTTTGTTGTATACACAACGTTTCTGGGCTTTTCCTTGTCCCTTCGTCATTCACATTCGTCATTTCGTTGACACGACAACAACGCCCGTAGCACTAAGATGGCTTTGTGGAACCGGTCCCTGTATTTACCAAACTATGGGACGTAAGGTGCAACTAATGAGGTGCTTCTTTGTGTACGTAGGTCCAGTCGTGGCCGGTGTTGTGGGACTGAAGATGCCGAGATACTGCCTGTTCGGGGACACAGTGAACTACGCCTCTAGGATGGAGTCTTCCGGTCTAGGTATCCATGCCACGCTCTCAATCATTTTCCCTTACAGTGAAACATGTACAACGAAACCTCGTTAATCCGGACGGCACTTATCTAAGTGAAATCGACCTGTATAACAACTTTCCAAATTAACGAGCATTAGAACACATAGATAAGGTCAGCTCTAATCGTTCCGAAAACTATTAAATGAGGTCCGGATTAATAAGGTTTCACTGTACATCATAACATACAACCGTGCCTCGTGTACATCATGGGAGTGCATATATAGATAATATACACAAAGAACCTAGTTAAGCATCCCCTGACATATCTTACTGATTGAATGAGCCCCGATCTTAACCCTTTGGAACATATCTGGGACATGATTGGTCGTCGTGTGCAACAAAGGGATCCTCCTGTACAGAACCTGGCCCAACTGGAAGCTGGTCTTCACGACGAATTGCGTAGACTGCCCCTTTAGAGGATCAGGAGGCTGACAGGGGGTATGAGGAGGATACAGGGGTATTACAAGAATACAGGGGTGCTTAAATACGTGTTTTGTGTATAGATAGTACCAGCTAGCAGATGCATTTGATATAGTTCGGGTATATATTAATTGTTTGCGCATTGTTTAACGCCGCACTCAGCAATATTCCAGATTTCCAGCGGTCTGCATATAATCGAGTCTCCACGAGACAATCCAGTCATTTACATAATGAGGATCGATCTACCCAATTGGGATACGATGACATGTGTCAACCAGGTCAGCGAGTCTGACCACCTGATCCCGTTAGTGGCCTCTTACGATAGGCATGGGTTACTGAAGATCAATTCTAACCAGGATCTTCACAGGTCTAATATATTTCGAAGAGTGATCATTATTTGCACATTGTCTTTGCATGTTGCAGCTCTGCGGATCCACGTGAGTCCCGAATGCAAGTTGGTGCTGGACAAGCTGGGGGTTCCACGTGGAGCTCCGGGGAGAGGTGGTCATGAAGGTTAGTGTGTCATCAGAGGTCTTTTAAGTCTATTGAGATGCCACGGCCCCGTTTCATAGCAGTGCATTCTTCTGTGGCTTCTGTACCCTAAAACGGAATTACGTGTATGGTACCAGGCCTTATTGGTTAAAAGTTTACAAAAGAGGCGCAAGTATTAAAGATTAAAGAATTAAAGATGATTGTTCCTATTTGTAAGATAGTACCAAAGGAGACATCACTTTTACAACGTGTTATCAAACATACCTGTATCTCGAACATTTCAATGGGATCTCTGAATTGTAATCGATGTTTTCTGTTCATGTTGGGGCACATGTGTCCATATATTCTGAGGTGCCTCACGAGCACACCTGAGTAGCACCTGTGTAGAGTTGCGTCCCTTGGGCTCGTTAGAAGCCAATACTCGTGTTGGAAACCTGGGTCGTATCTAGCTTATGAATTACACTGACTGAGTTTAGTTTTACGCCGCTCTTAGCAATATTCCAGCAATATCACGGCGGGGGGGATACCAGAAATGGGCTTAACACATTGTGCCCATGTGGGGAATCGAACCCGGGTCTTCGGCGTGACGAGCCAACGCTTTAACCACTAGGCTACCCCACCGCCCCTATGAATTACAAGGCACTGGCACGCCTCTGAGAACCGCTGCACTTCGGCATTTCCTCCCGTATTTAAGCAGACACGCCAGGTATAACAGGAACAATGCCGCAAGCGGCGTTAAAAAACCTATCTAACTCACTGATTAATGTTTATTGCAATATAGACATGGATCTATAACCGTACCCGTGAAAATCCGGGGTAGAATTGGTCTTCAGGCGACCCATGCGACTGACGGGATCATGGGGTAAGACTCGCTGACGTGTTTGATGCATGTCACCATTTCCCAAATGTTCGATGCTCATGATGTCAATCACTGGAGCGCCAAACAGCTGGAATATTGCGGCGTTAAACAACAAATAAACCAAACCAAATCAATCGATCACTGATCTGTTTGGTCCAGATTTGATTATTTACCCGCCGTCGTGATAGAACTGGAATTGGAATATTGCAGAGTTCGGCGTTAAAGAATAAACATGAACAAAAAAGAAGGTATCCAAAAGCGGGGGACCGATCCTTATTTCGCGCATTTCATGAATCACATTGAGCGGCGTATACTTTCTATAAAAAGCGTTAACGTTCTTGAAAATATTTGGTAACCGTGAGCGTCGATACTGATTACCTGTAATGGCTGGCGTGTTGGTCGTCACGCACTATATCGTGGTCCTCCTGATTTGTGCTCCTCCTCCGCGGCGAGATATTTATTATTTACAATATGAACATTGGTAAACGCAGCTCAAACAAAACACGCCCTTGTGAATGTTGTACACGAACGAAAGTAATTTCATTACCAAAGCAAATACGAGGCTAAAAATAGTGAAACATTTTGGACCTTTTTAGTTTGAGGTTCCTGACACAGTTGTCGGCCTTACGTTTATTGACATTTGTAAGTTATAGGTTAAATCCAATTTTCAAGTGTATGCTTTCTCTTACCCGGCAGTTTGTGTTTTAGAGTTTTAAAGAAGAGAGCCCTTTAGTGTAATAGACAGGTTGTTGTTATAAATGAACTCTTATTCTTTCAGGGCAAAGGAACGGTTGTTACATATTTCCTGAAGGGCAAAGACGGATTTCATAAAGAGTTACCTTCCCTGGACCTTGCTGTGCCTTTAGCTGAACACACATTCAAATAATCAGCAAACAATTCTTACATTTCTATACATGTTTCCACTTCTAAAAGTTACAGGGGTTAGCTAGAGTTGGCAATGCTACCCACACAAACCTGTCCTGCATGCCCCTGTAGCAATGTACGAAAAGCTACATATCAGTGCGAATATTTTTACAGTGATCAATTTGGTGCATAAATAGAAAATACTTTATTTACATTTTTAAAATCACATCGTAAATAAGGACACCCAAAGCTATTGACAATAAGATCATTCATACAATTGGAAAAACGTTTATCGCATTTTACTGTGTATTTATTTTACTTTAAAATAGGCTTGTTTTTGTGTTAATTTTCTAAAAATAAACGAATGTTTCAGTTCACAGTGTTACATTCGTGCTGCAATACAGATATTTAACTAGATTATCTAAAACATTTTTGTGACTGTTCTGGTGTTCTGGTGTTTCAGTACCATTTCAATTTCTTCTTCAGAGAGAATTATGACGTTGTATTTAAGACCACCCATAAGAACATATTCTTCTACAACAGACTTATAGGTGGTATGTTGGAAATCTGCCAAAATGAGATGAATGCCAAATGTAGATCTTTGGAAGATAAATTTAACACGACAAAACAAAAAAGCAAAAATTGTGATGTTCTACATACCAGTAGTTCCAGGTGTATATACAAATTCTAAGAGACACCGTATCCATGGTAACGTAATCTCGTATAGTATGTTAATCCGGATGTTTTAACCCAGAAAGGTTCTACATGAATGGGTTAAGTTTTCATTTGATGTGAAACAGTATACATATACAGGAATCTGTGATACCTTAACCAACATTGTTGTATTTTTGTAAAGACAGAATGTGACATTCTTAATAATTTTTATGTTGCGATGTACAGAGTTTTTATGTATGAAATCATGTGTACTGCAATGTGTATGACATCACGACTGACATATTCATATGTATATAGCAGGGTATGACACACGTGTTACAAGACAAACAGACCGGATATTGCCATAAACTGATTATATAAAGAAAACCGTCAAAGATGAACTGTGGTATAGATGTTTCATATAATACATTCCCAATATATGTACATGTCAACAAAGAGTTTCTTCATATGTACATGATTGTATTCAGTGCCACTGGCGAATAACACACGCAGGGAACAGAGTTGTGTCCCTTATCTGTTACAGGATCAGCTGGTTAGGGTTTGAATTCCTGTCTGTCCTACTCAAGTCATGCATGTCTGAAACCTGATCATCAGTGTGGGATTTCCAGAATGCTCTAACAACCCGTGATATAACTGACATATTATTGTAAGCGGTGTTACCTCAGCCACCCACCCACTCACTGAACCACTGTTGTGGGTGTATTTCGTGATGACATGTTATCAATATCTGTCCACCATAAATTGTTTAACTTGAATTTGACGAAAAAGCGAGTCATACGATGGAGACAGCAAGTATGTCATATATCTTTGGGGGTTTGAATGTGATAAAACGAAGTCATTGTAACTCTTTTATTTACGTAACTATATAAATTGCATGAAAGGTTTTGCAACAGCATCTTGACATCTTGACATCAAGCATCACTGAAGGGAAACATCAGTTTGAATGTTTCAAGTCTACTATTATAGAAAATGGTGCTGTGTGTTTATACCACGGTAGAAGATCATACATACACATGTATAGATACGTTCTGAGCTATGATGGACATGCGTAATAATGCAATATTTACTTGAGGACATGACATGATGTTGAAGATTATATAAAACCTTGAGTCCACCGAGAAAATTGTTTCGCTGTGGCGGTAAAATTAGCAGGAATTTTCGGAGACTCATGAATCATGCAATTCATTTTATGTTAGGCCCAGAATATATTATTATTCAACCTCGTACATTCGTTCACGCAATTTATCTTGCAAAGCTTATCCAAGTTTATATGAATGGCATCATGATGCCATGAGAGGTGTTGAATGTTATATTTTCTATACTGACGTCTCTTTTTGACAATGGCTTTAGTTCATTTTGTCATTCTGATTTGCTATGTCTGGTATCATTGTCTTCACGCCATTAAATGGTGACATCATTATCGCCAATGTTTTGCTGGCTCGAAGTGTGTTACCGAAATATTTCGATTCCAAAATTGGCACCGACATGACAGATACCTTTGCTGTAATCCAAAAACATTATCGAAGCGGATACATTGGATTTTAATTATAACATGTTGTAATTCATGTATCCAGTTCAAGAAATTATTAATTGTGGGATAAAAGACTATGTTGTGCTCAATAAGGACAAGTTCTAGTGGATAAACGAAACACTCCCAGTTGTAAAAAAGTTGCTATCCATGGGAACTTGTCTTGAGTGATCCCTGAACTGTTTATAACACTAACTCATTGTATATTTGTCTGAGGCACTTCACCAATGTGTTTGTAATACCAAAACAAATGGTCTGTTATTGTTATATGGCTGTTTTCACTCTCTTCCCGTCCAGGGTTGTTATCAATAAAGATGGTTGACACTGATCTGTGTGTTGTTACTTTTACATGAAATACACTGAGGCACAGAAGAAAGTACACACATTGAGCTCTGGGATTATTTTCCAAGAAAATGCGTAACTATTTTGAAAAGTGTTTTGATTGTGACGTAAAAGTGACGACTGTGACGATTGTGACGCACAAACAATGTGTACGTCTAGATATGCAATCGACAAGCACCATCTGATACGATTCTTCCTGATTAAGATCCTCGGTACCTCTGGTACCCAGGTAATGGTAAACGACATCATTCAGCGCCCTCCTGAAACAATGTGCTAACACGCCATTATACAAATCAATACTTAACAGTTTAATGGGGCGTTGAACTAAATGCATCAGACAGATGGTACATATTGTTACCCTGCCTTTCGTGGAAGGGGTGAAATGCGGACTAGGCTAATACTATAGAACCGTCATGAACCTGGACTAGTAAGATCAGCCACACAGACGTGTATGTACATGTACATCACAGTGCAATAATCTCGAACTCAACCGACATTCAACCTCATTTCACCTCACCACACACCATCCACTCTCGCACTAGAAACGCTGGATAAAATGACGTGGAGGGGAGGTAAAACATTCTAGCAACGTTCTGAAGTAATATTTTCCGCCACGACCACCGAGGAGCAGCTCCATACTGACAGTCATGTGACACAATACTGCATGTGAATGACCTTATGTATCATTGTCATGCCACTGCTTCAACATCAGAATGTTGTCATCTCGTGGATTTACCTTACATTAACCAACAACAAACAAGCCACATGTTTTAAGATGTTTCATTTAATGACCTGGGTTTGACATGTGTATACTGTACAGTACAAGACAGTTTTAGCTGTTGACACAACCATGTGTGCCACCCAAAACATCAACCCATGAGAATACGGACGACGTCCATCAAGACCAAAGAAGTTTTTCCATGAAAAGGTACATGCCAAATAAACATCGGAAACGATACTACTAACTATTCACAATTGTGTAAACACTTGTCCATATTTGAATATCACTTGTCCATAGAGATACCTGCAGGTGATACATCTATGAAATACACATAATTGGCATGTCAACAGACGCATTTTGTAGGTGCCATGTCCATGGGAAATGAATTGGTAAAATCGTCCATAGATATACATACAGGTGCCATGTGCATGGATATGTATGAAGGTGGTATGTCCCGAAGTAATTATGTTGGTAGCAGGTCCATAGACAAATATGTAGGTGACGTATCCATGGAAAAATATGTAATTGTCCTTAGATATATATGTAGCTGGCATATCCATAGAAATCTTTGAAAGACAAGTGCTCAAGATTTTTAAAGTGGGTGTCTTGCCCATATAGACACACACAGGACCCAGACCGACCTGAAAGTCCTGTCACAACATACGAGTTGATCATGCTGACGATGGCTGAATACTCCGGTCCTCCTCCCCACACAGATCCAGATACGTCTCTGCCTGATGGTCAACTGGCTTCTCGTAACCACCATCCTGGTCCTCAGAGAGATCCAAATACTCATTATCTGTACATTGTATCATCTGTTCATATGCATATGTAAGGTCCCTGACACTCAATGTCCCACCAGAAGAACCATCGACAGCAGCTACCGCTTGTTGTCCAAACGACTCCGCAAAGTCGTAAAGTGTACAAGGTTCACAAGTCGTTTCCTCCTGACATGGATACAGGTAATAACTATTGGGTATCGACTGTCCTTGGTCAAGTCCGAACAAGACATCTTCTTCCTCTTCCTCTTTATCACAGAGTTCAGAAAAGCTTGGCTCCAGAACCTGTCCACCGTATGTACTTCTAGCAACGTTATGCCGAGCACTCAATGAATCCCTACTTCTCTTGGTTAACTCGTGCTTGCGAGAGACGCCCTTCGTTTTCAGAGATCTTTTGTCAATGATGCCAACTTTACTGTCATCGTCTATCGTCTTCGAAATCCTAGTCACCTTGACGCCCATTTTGCCATCAAAGCAGTTTCCATTGGTACTGTCAACATTGTCGACGGGTGGTCCTTGGTGAGGTTCATGTCGTTCCATGATGTCGCTGATGGTTGCGTATTCACTGTCGTCGGAGTTGGACATGTTCTGAGGGTTTTACAAGCTTCCGATGTTTTCGACGCCAAACATCCAAATCCGTTCCTGAAAATGTAACTCTCTGTAATTTTCTCACTTCGGAAAGAATGTTACACTGCAATATGGTAGCATGTATCATATCCGTCATTACCGTCATTCTAGAACTTTTGAGAGTTGGTCCCATTCCCATTCCCATCCCTAAACCCACAGCTTGTCACAGAATCGCCACTACGCAAAGACCGCAATCTGACCCACTTACCCACCGTGGTTTCCACATAATGGAAGTCCTACAACTGGTTGTCTAGATCGCGGTCTTTGTGTAGCCCTCAGATAGCAATATAGTACTTAAGTTGGTCTGGGGGTCATAACTGCAAGACATTTATTGAAACTTAAACATAGTGGATAGGAGGCAGTAGAGGGAATCTACTCTAACATTCTCAACTCCCGACAACCACACCGAAGACAAATGTAACAACGTTGAACAAATTCTGCAGTAATTCCATATACGTACAATCGTCGGTTTTCAAATCACTACCTGTTTCAAGTTACTGACATGACAAGATACTGAGTCATATATAACGTTTGAACATTAGTCCTTATGTACTGACCAATTATACTGATCTGTCAGATAGTGTCGCTTTAGATTGAATAAAGGTGAAATTGATTACCTTTGTAAGTATATTGTTATGATTATTATGCTGCTCACGAGCGCCGCAACGACCGCCACTCCTCCGCCTACACTGGACACCATATCTGGGGAACATCATCAATAAAATACATGAATCTTGCGTTTGATATTGATGTCAACCCCATTAATTAAACAATGAATATGATATAGCTTTTATTGAATATCCGTTCATAGCAGTTCATAACATCATTACATAAAAGCTTACAAACATATTTTCAGTAACTTTGATGGTTTAATACACTCTTCAAACAAAGAAACGAATAAGCCACTTTTAAACGAATTTATTGCGTTAGTTTAATACCAAATATTTCAAGTAATTCCAATAGTCAAAAGGTGAAAATTCACACGTCTATAGGCAAAGAGATCGCCGAAACAACAGCAGTCTTTATTATTGTGTTTCTGTTTACTTGAGTCCACAAGATAGCGTCAAAGTCAGTACATTGTATGGCCACCATTGGCAGCAATTACTGCTCGGCTCCGTCTCGGCACAGACTGTATAAGTCGACGAAGGTGCTCTTGTGGAATTCTTCCCCCACTCTTCCTGCAATGCGATGACAAGTTCTAGAAGTGTCTGGGGCGTGTTTTGACGTTGACGTAAATGTCGATCGAGTTCATCCCATAGGTATTCTATCGGGTTTAGATCTGGTGACCGAGAGGGTCATGGCAAGACATTGACGTTAGAATTGGCAAGGTAAAAGACCGTGACGCGTGCTGTATGTGAAGTAGCGTTGTCATTCTGGAACAGCTCCCTCTGTCAGTCCATAATCGGAAGCATGTGATGAGCAAGGACTTCGTTAATGTACCGATATGCTGTCAAATTCCCCAGAACCACCACTAAATCAGACCTTTGTGTGCTGGATATCTCACCTCACACCATGACACTCTCCTCCGAATCTGTCGACCTGTCGTATGCAATTAGAGGCAAAACGTTCATTTCTCCGGCGGTGAACACGCTGTCTTCCATCTCGGCGGTGAAGAAGAAATCGTGATTTATCACTGAACCAGGCTCGCCTCCAGTTTCTAAGGTTCCAGTTCCGGACTCTACGACACCACCGCAAGCGATTGCGCCAAAGGAAGTCTCTCAAAACAGGGGCGACTACTGGCCTTCTTGGTCGAATCCCCACTTCACACAATCGATTCCTGACAGTTAGGTTGCAAATTCTTCTCAAACCAAGAATTGTTGTGCAGTCTCCACGGCTGTGGCAAAACGATGACGCAAGTGAGCAATCCGGATGTAGTGGTGATGGGCTTGGTGGTAACTCTTGGGCGGAATTGGTCAGCAG